AATGGCCAGATAGAAAAGGCTCACATTTCCTAAAAAAACTAATACAACCAATAGGATTTTTGAGCTTCTACATGTTGACTTATGGGGACCATATGATGTGCCCACACATGACAAGTACAAATATTTTATTACTATTGTGGATGATTTTAATAGGACCACTTGGGCTGATCTCCTATCCATTAAAAGCAATGCTTACCAAGTTCTTAAGGGATTTTTTAGTTTGGTGGAAAATCAATTTGGAGTAAATGTTAAAGCTGTGAGAATAGACAATGGATTGGAGTTCACCAACACAGAGACAAACATGTTATTCCAATCCAAAGGCATCATACATCAAAGAGCTTACCCTTACACTCCACAACAAAATGGTGTGGTGGAAAGAAAACACAAGTACCTCCTTGAGACAGCTAGGGCTCTCCTCTTTCAGTCTAAATTGCCCCAAAAATATTGGGATGAATGCATACTCTGTGCAACCTTCCTCATAAACAGGTTGCCTTCCACTTCTATCAATGATCAAACTCCATATGAACTGTTGTATAAGAGAAAGCCAAATTACTCTCACCTAAAGAGTTTTGGCTGCATGTGCTACCCCACTGTGCCTAGGCCTCATAGAGACAAATTTGAACCTAGAACAACACCACATCTTTTTGTTGGCTATCCTTTCAACACAATGGGATACAAAGTTCTAAGTCTGGCTACTAGAAAAATCATTGTTTCCAGAGATGTAGTCTTCAATGAGTCTATCTTTCCATTTGCAACCAATTTGGATATATCTTCCCAATTTTATGTCCCTCATTCAATTCCTTTCATTGAACCTCTATGTGAGAAACTTCCTGACAGTACAAATGTTACATAGCAAACATCTGAACATTTGAGTGTTCAAAGGAGTAATGTTGACAACACAACTAATCTCATGTCACCTACACATGATCATTCTTCATCCATGACACCAAATTCTCCAACACAATTTTCATCATAGGATCATACTGAACAGTCTCATGAAGAACCTATACAACTGAGACAGTCATCAAGAACACATAAGGCACCCAGTTATCTACAAGACTATGTACATTCCCTACCTAAACTTAAACCAAATACCAACTCCCTTAGTGCCCTGTTTTTTGTAAACTACCATGTTGCCTCTGATCTACTAACTCCTAATAGTCAAGTTCTTGTGAGAAATGTTTGTCATGACAAGGAACCATCATTATATGAGGAAGCAACCATTGATCCTGCATGGCAAGCTGCAATGACACAGGAGTTTGAGGCCCTATATTCCAACCATACTTGGTACCTAGTAGCTTTACCACCAGGAAAACAAGCAATATGATGCAAATGGGTTTACAAAGTGAAGCATAAAGCTGATGGTAGTATAGAAAGGTTCAAGGCCAAATTAGTTGTGAATGGCTACACACAACACATAGGAATTGACTACACAGAGACATTCTCCCCAGTAGTGAAGATGACAACAGTGAGAGCATTAATAGCCACAGCAGTGAAGAAGGGTTGGTGCATATCTCAGCTAGATGTAAACAATGTCTTCCTCCATGGAGGGCTTAATGAGGAAGTATATATGCAAACCCCTCCTAGACTTGTTGTGGACAAACCTGGACTAATATGCAAACTAAACAAATCTCTCTATGGTCTAAAACAAGTTAGTTGACAGTGGTATGCAAAATTGACTGAGGCTTTATGCTCAAAAGGATATACACACTCCATGAATGATTATTCACTCTTTTATAAGAAAAAAGGAGATTCATTGATATATGTTGCAGTATATGTTGATGATGTGTTGCTTACTGGAACTGATCAAGAGGAGATCACACAGTGGAAAGACTCCTTGCATGAGCAGTTTAAGATCAAAGATCTGGGGCAATTGCACTTTTGGGCTGGAAGTAATGTACAAGGATGATTGTGTGATAATTTCTCAAAGGAAATTTGTGTTGGACATATTGAAGGAGTATGACTGCCTAGACTATAAGTCTTGTTCTTCACCCTTAGACCCTACAGTAAAGCTAAAGGCTAAAGAAGGTGTCATTCTACAGGATCCTACATACTACAGGAAACTGGTAGGAAAGCTGAATTTCCTAACCAACACTAGATTGGACATTGCATATAGTGTTCAACACTTGAGTCAATTCATGCAAGAGCCAAGAGAATCACATTTGAAGGCAACTTTCCATCTGCTTAGGTATCTGAAAAGTGATCCCACTCTGGGAATCTTCATGTCCATAGATGCAGTTTGTACAGTTAGAGCATATTGTGACTCTGATTGGGCTAGTTGTCCTGATTCCAGGAGATCCATCACAGGCTATTTGGTGCTTCTGGAAAATAGTCCTGTTAGTTGGAAGTCCAAGAAACAGGAAACTATATCACTATCTTCTGTAGAAGCAGAGTACAGGGCTTTAAGGAAAGTAGTGGGGGAACTAGTATGGTTGAGAATGTTGTTTGAAGAACTACATGTCCCCTTTTCAATGACTATTTCAGTGTACTGTAATAGTCAATCTGCACTTCATATTGCCAAGAATCCAGTCTTCCACGAAAGAACCAAACACATAGAAGTGGACTGTCACTTTGTGCGCAATCAATTACAAGCAGGGTTAATTTCACTCCACCACATTGGAACATACAGTCAACTGGCAGATATTCTGACTAAAGCCTTAACTGGAATCAAACATGGTGCCACATTAAGCAAGTTGGCTGTGTTTGCAACACCTCCAACTTGAGGGGGTTGTTAAGATTAATTATTTCCACTTGTTTGTATCATTGTTAGCTTAATTAGAGAGTTAGTTAGTGGACAACTTTGGACAGCTGTCAGTTAGCTGCCAGTCAGTTGGTTTGCTTAGCTTCTTCTTCTTCTTCTTCTTCTTCTTCTTCTTCTTCTTCTCTTTATATACTTGTATATAGTTTGGGGAGTTAGTTATTTTTGTAATCCTTGAATGAATAATATCGAAATTCTCTAGAATGTTCTTCTCCTCTCATTGAATGACCTCGAGTCCATAGGGCTGAGCTTCCGCCATTGTTGATATTGCATTCCTAGTTCAGCTAGGGAGGAAGCTACTGTTCCATTGCTGTAATTTGATAGTTCTTCTTGATCATTTCTTACAAAAGATTCAACATAAGTAGGANAGTTAGAGAGTCAGTTAGTGGTCGAGTTTGGACAACTGTCAGTTAGCTGGTTAGCTTAGCTCTTAGTTGGTTAGCTTAGCTCTCTCTCTTTATATACATGTGGGAGAAGTGCCATTAGTTTTACATAGTTTTTGAATGAATAATATCAAAACTCTCTTCCAGAATATTCTTCTCTTCTCATCGAACGACTTCGAGTTCACATCACTAAGCTTTCGCCATTGTTGTTGTTGCATTCTTAGCTCAGCTACTGTTCCATTGCCGGAATTTAATAGAGATAAACAATTATGATGAAGAAAAAAGAAGCTAAACAATTATATTTCCCAGTGTGATTTCTTCAAACATTTTAAGCCATTTTCCATTATAAATTTTGTCATTATTAGCATTATCATAATTCATTGAATCTATAAATATATAAATTTGTGACATAAGCAGTTATTCTCATTAATCCTCCTGTTTATTTTTGAACTAGTTCCAAAATTTTAAAGATTGATTATACAGTACAGAGTACAAGAAATTAACAAACTGCGAGGTCTCTGCAAATATGCAGATTTTTGGCAATTTGGTACGGCATTTTTTCGTATTTAGTTTTGGCTTATTCCATTGGAGACTGTAACCAAAATTCATGATAATTCAAAAATATATATTTACGAACAAAATTCAGCTCTTTATAATTTAATTTCGCTAGTAGCACTTTCTTTTTCTATATGATTCATTGGATTGCTCAATGAAATATTTAATAGCTAGTGGTCCAAGTTTTTGACCAGCACTATCTAATGAATATAAATTACTTCCTATTTTTTTTGGGTATATAAATATAAAATTACTTCCCTATAAAAGATAAACTTATTAATCCTCCTTTTGACTGAAACCTGACATCTGTTTTACCCATTTTGAAAGTTTATTTCAGATTTATATTCGGATAATACATCCATAAAAGTAATCAAATCACAAACAATTATTTATTATTTTGGGGTATTATCACTTTTAGCCCGCGCAAAAAATTATTTATATTTGATCGCCGAAAAGCGTGTAAAATCAATATAATTTTTGTATATATATATATATATATACAACAACAACAACCCAGTGTAATCCCACAAGTGGGGTCTGGGGAGGGTAATATGTACGCAGACCTTACCTCTACCCCGAGGGGCAGAGAGGCTGTTTCCAGGAGACCCTCGGCTCAAAGTATATATATATATATATATATATATATACATATTTTCAACTATTATTTTGAAAGGTGCTATACAATGTCATTTTTTCTATTATTTTCGTGTGTGAAGGGTGGAGGAGGGATGAAATTAAGAAAAGTAACTAATATTTCCAACAGATTAGATTAGATTCGTTTAACGTAGTCGAGCATACGAGGAATAAAAACTCATACGACATTTTCAACTCGCAAGTGATGTAGTGAAGATTCAAACTTGCGACCATCGTTGCAAGTGAACATTCAATAAAATTGTCGTTCAATCATATTCGTTTCGATCACCTGAATAGCGATCATTCCATTAGACAAGAAATAGCTAAAATTTAATTTAAAGTAACTCAATAAACTTCCATAATATAAACATGCTTTACTTATTAACAAATACCATTATAAAACAATTCATTTTCCTCAAAAGTTGTATTAATTAATGGGAGAAAATAAAATTGCCCAAAAGGAGTAAAAAAAAACAATTGTAATCTAAAAGCATTGATTATTTGAGACAAAAAAAAAGTGAAAAAAAAGCAAAGATATGATGAGGAGAAATGATTTTGAAAGGAGAAAGGTCAAGGTAACCGTTAGGTTTCAGCTCGGAACTTCGCGACCTTTCATCCAACGGCCATAATTTACTAGCCGTTACTTTCAAAATATGAACAGACATATATCCGATGTTTACGACTTAATTCCATATACCCATTTCCCATTTCACTCTTTAATGATTCTCAAAATCAACCCCAAGAACAATCTTTAGAGAAAAGAAAGAAAAAAAAAGATAAAGAGAGGGATCTTTGACTCCATTGATTGATAAATTTTAATGGGGTTCTTCTAATTCATAGTCTCTCTCTTTTTTACTGAAATCATTTAAGGTTCTTTCCACTCAAAGATTTGATCTTTTGTGATAATCAGTGTAAGGGATTAGTCTATTATTGGGTTTTCATTATATAAAATTTCTTATCTAGCTAAATTCTTGGTGATGTTTTCTTGGTTTGATTATTCAATTGGGTTTTTAATTTTATTTTTGTATCTGGTTTTACATGTGTTGTGGATTTGACTTTTGAGCAGTCAAGATGGTTGGATCAGACGAGAACTTTTCAGGTGTGATGAGGGCTTCAAATCTTCAAGGTGAGTTTTATTAATATTTGATTAATTTCTTTTGTTATGTTATGTGTTCTTGAGTTTGTGTGTTTTGCTTCTTTTGTGTTTGTGGATTTGACTGTTACAAAATCCTAATTTATGGATGGGAAATGTATGTTATTTTGTTATTAGGAGGATTAAGGCCTGTTGTTGGAGGAGGAAAATTGACTGCAGGAGTTGGACAAAATAGAAGGGCACTTAGTACAATCAATAGGAATGTAATTGGAGCTCCCCCTTTACCCTATGCTGTCAACAAGAGAAATGGCATTTCTGAGTAAAAACTTCTTAAACCCTAGAACTCCAATTCCATTTCTAATTTCACTTGATTTTACAACCTGTTTTGATTTTTATTTATTTTTCATTTCTTTCTAGCAACAAAGCCAATGCTGCTAACAAAATCCCTCCTGTTCCGATTCATCGTCCAATCACAAGGTTTGACTCTATTTCGTGTCCTAAATATTTATTTACACCTGATCTCAAATTCGCTTTAATTAACTGTGGAGTTCTTGACATTTCAGGAAGTTAGCTGCACAAATCGCAAGCAAACAGCAGCAACCTGCAGTCGAGGTACATTTTTTAATGCGATCTTGGTCTATTTTAATGACTGAGCTGCTGTTAATATTGTTGTATTTCCTTAGGTAACAAAGCCACCAGTCCCATTGGCACCAAATAGAAATGAATCAGAAGACTGCATTATTATCGATGCTGAAGAATACAAGGCTACTGGTGATTCTTCCGTGCCAATGTTTGTGCAACATACTGAAGCAATGATGGAGGAAATTGATAGGATGGTAAATTCTGACATGATCTATATAAATTGGAGGAATTTTTTTGTGTGTGGATTGCCATTGATGTTGGTTTATTTTATGATTTAGGACGAGGAGATAGAGATGGAAGATGTAGAAGACTGTCCAATTGTGGATATAGACAGCACTGATAAAAAGAACACGCTTGCAGTTGTGGAGTACATTGACGACATCTATGCTTACTACAAGAAGACTGAGGTAGAAATATTACTCCACTCTCCCTTCTATTATGTGTATAGGATAGGATATGGCCTGTAGTGTTTGTAGACCTCTCATATTTTCAACTGTTTATTTAATTCCTATGGATATGATCCCATTGTGTGAAAGAGTGGTACTAGTTCGGCTGATCCACCTTTATGATCATTAAGCTTAATAGTTTGCCATGTTATTCACAAAATTTAGGCATTTAATTTCAGTATAGACTTACATATCTTTAGCTAGTCCGATAATGCAGAGCATCGAATGTAGCTACTTTATGTTTCCATCTCTTTCTTTTTCCCCTATATGTAGAAGTGTATATTTCCCCCTTTTGTTTAATGGAATAGCTGCTATGTGTCATTTTCGATTGCAGGTTCTTAGCTGTGTCCCTCCAAACTACATGGAACAGCAAATTGATGTTAATGAAAGGATGAGAGCCATCCTAATTGACTGGCTGATTGAGGTATACAACCAGTCTGTTGCATATCATTTCTGAATTTTATGAAGTAGAATATAGTAATTTTGGATCTCATTAATGTCTTTTTCCAATAAATAAAGGTACACTACAAGTTTGAACTGATGGAGGAGACCCTGTATTTGACTGTGAATCTTATCGATAGATTCCTAGCAGTTCAGTCAGTGATTAGGAAAAAACTTCAACTTGTCGGAATAACTGCATTGCTTCTTGCCTGCAAATATGAAGAGGTTTCTGTACCTGTAGTGGAGGATCTAATTTTAATTTCTGACAAGGCTTACACCAGAAATGAAGTGCTTGTGATGGTCAGTTTAAAGACCAAAATCTTATAGTAATGTTTAACAGGAAACATATTTCCATAGCTGTATGACTCTTAACTGATTTCTTGTCAACGCAGGAAAAGTTGATGGTTAATACCTTGCAATTCAATGTAACAGTGCCTACAGCATATGTGTTTATGAGGCGATTTCTTAAAGCCGCTCAGTCTGATAAAAAGGTTGGTTAGACTTCTTTACCAGAATATTACATTGAATATGACATTCTGAATTCCAACTCATTTAACTTGTTGTTTAATGTTTAAATCAGGTGGAGCTCATGTCTTTCTTCTTGATAGAGCTATGTTTGGTTGAATATGAGATGCTTAAATTCCCACCATCAATGCTAGCAGCTGCTGCTATCTTTACTGCTCAATGCACTCTTGGTGTTTCTAAGGAGTGGAATAAAACCTGTGAGAAGCATAGCAGCTATGCTAAAGATCAGCTTTCGTATGTATACTTTTGTTTGTAAAGATGAATATATCATCTATTTATTGAATAGACTCAGACTCAGATGAATATATCCCTTATTTTTTTACGACAGGGAATGCTCGAGATTGATGGTTTCTTTCCATCAGAAGGCAGCAAGTGGGAAGCTTACTGGCGTGCACCGAAAGTACAGCACTTCTAAATATGGCTATGCTGCTAGATGTGAACCAGCTTCTTTCCTGTTAGAAGCAGCATGGTTCTAGGATGTCAAGAAAGTAGTAATATAGAGAGTGTGGTTAGTTGAAAGCAATTGAGCAACATAAGTTGCCCCGAGTGAGGGGAGGGGGAGGGTGTTTTGAGTTCTTACTGCTGCTGAGAACATGCTTTTTTATTTGTTTGTTTGGTTTTTCGTGTACATTATTGACATTGCTTTAGTATTTTGTGAAATCTAGTTTTTCACACTCGTGTTCTTGAAGCTTTTTGGAATCATACGCATTCATTTCTGTCCCAGTGGTGGCTCAATTCTTGAATGTTTTGCCCAGTTCTTGAATGTTTTGCTCAATTCTTGAATGTTTTGCGCAGTTCTCAGTGTNTCTGTGTGTGACTATCTCCAACTATAGAAGTTTGAAAAAAGAGAAGGAAAAATCTATTACCTCTCCTATATACACAATAAGCTCCTTTGTGTTATAAAATAAAGACTGTAAAGTAAAGACAAGTATAGAGAGAAAATGTTATGTTATTCGAATTCAAACTGAAGTGATAAGCTTATTTCCAATAGAGTACTAAATAGATAAACATATTTACGGTGGAGTCTCATATGGATAAGTTTCTTCAAGAAGCTTATTTACAGAGTACTAAATGAACATCCATAATATAATATATTTATAACACTGAGAGAAATTTTCCAAAATATGATACTTGCAGAGTAATGTGTGGATTATTTGCCAAAATATACTTGCAAAAAAGATTTGGTTCCGTTGCCGGGACTTGAACCCGGGTCTCTCGGGTGAGAGCCGAGTATCCTAACCACCTAGACTACAACGGATCTTGCACAACAGCATCGCATATTAATAATAGTATCAACTCTAACATCAAACCAAAAAAAAAATGTTGCCTTATCTATAGTAGTTAGCACTTAGCAGTATTAGTGTAATTTCTACGAGATACATTTTCCTTCGGTCTGCCAAAAAAAATGAAATTTTTATGCAATTTGTTCTGTTTTTCTTAATTTACTCCCTTGTTTTTTTTTATGATTAACTAATTGAAGGGAAAAGGAGAAGGTTATTACCATTTTTAGCCCGTGTTCGAAACTATTTATATTTGGTATCCAAAAAAGTGTATAAATTTTGTATAATTTTTGTATATAGCATATATATAAAAAATATACAAATTTTATATATTTTTTCGACTATTATTTTTACAACGGCTATACAGTCATTTTTCCAAAGGAAAAATACTTAGTTACCCCTTTTCTAAATAATTTATACCCTTATTTTTTACCTTCCTTTAGTTCATAAAAACAAATAGGTAAAAACGTTTTATTTATAATTTTAATTTATTTTAAATAATCATAATTTAATATACTTAATTGCGGATATACCTCATAGGGGCTATAAGGGGTCATTTGGTTGGAATACGATTTATACCGGTATAAGTTATATTGAGATAAGTTATGCTGGGATTAATTATGTTGAGATTGTTGTTTATTCATTGTTTGGTATGTTGTATTAAGAATGACAAATGCATAATTTTTAAAAAGAAGGTGTAAATTATACCGGTGCTAATTACCCCACCTTCTATAAGGTATAAGTTATCCCAGTGTTAAAATTAACACCGGGATAACTTATACCTGATTTGCTAACCAAACAAAATATTAAGATAATATTAAATTTTTATACCACCCTTATACCTTCTTATACCTCATACCAAACGACCCCTAAGTGTAGGACTTTCATAATATAGGGAGTGCAAGTGCTTAATTATAAAATACAGACCGTATATCCGCAAGACCGCAACTGAGTCATATTATATGGGGTGTTTAGTATAATTAATACGATTCAAAAAATAATTTAATTTTAAAAATTCTTATTTTAAACTTTTTTAAAATGATCTATAGTCACATAAAAACTTATTTTAAATTATAAATTTCAGAAAAACTCCGTTTTAACTCAGTGCTTAGTTAAAGTTAAAATGTGCCACCCAAATTGGGATGAGAGGCCCAATTTGAACAAAAACTCCGTTTTATACTAGCCCGTTTGGCCATGAATTTTTTTTTCACTTTTCTTCGGAAACTCACTACTATTCCCTCCGGTTCATAATAAATGACCAAATTGTCTTTTTATTGTGGTCTAAAATAAGTGTTCATTTATATAATTAAGAAAAAATTCAATTTGTTTTCCCAAAATTATCCATATATACATATCTCTAAAATATCTTTTACTTCTCATATTAAATTATGCTGCAATATTTAATTAAGAATAATTTAGTAACATAAATTATTTTTATCTATTTCTTTAATGAATGTATCCAAGACAAATTGATCACTTATTGTGCGGCCGAGAAACTATTAGACTAGTGCCCAGATGAAGACAGAGGCATATAGAGTGTGAAACTTGGGTCAAGACTAGTTGAAGAATAACGTGATGAAGAAAAACATGTACTGAAGTGGACAGAAGACACTTCAGCTTGACGTGGCTGATAAAGACTAAATATAGAAAATCTAAACTGTAATTCTCAATGTTGTCGCCGCCCTCTTAGCTCAGGTCAGGACCCTCCTTTACTCTAACCCCTTACCACTCTCAAAATTAGCTAATATCCATAAATATTTAGTATTTCCCTAAAAGACTCAAATTCCATTTCCCTAAAATATCCAATATACCAAGTTAACTGGATCTTTGTGCTCTGTCACTATCTTCCAACTCATCTTTTTCTGTTTTATCTACTTATTTCTGAATATAAAGTTAAACGCTATATAATTATTACATGGTCCAGTTGTTTTCTTGATCTACTGATAGAGATAGTTCAAGCTATTATGAGGTAATAAGCTTCATCCCCACCATGTAATTTCTCTAGTATTCTTTAAATTTTTGGAAGTTTTCTGTAAAGATCGGATTTTTTTCCATTTCTGGACATACCCATTTGCTGGATTTGAATTTTGTTTTTTATTGCATGATTTATAGTGTTTGTGATTTTCTATTGTTCTTGAATTTTTGTGGATATTCTTCATCAAAGATCAGGTTTTTATCCATTTTTAGGAATAACCATAAGCTGGATATTGAATTTGACTTTCTTTTTTTTTAATTTATAAAAATGTGGTGCAAGTTGAGAGCAAGTTGGATGTTGATATTTATTTTTGCTTGATTAATTGTATGGTGTCTAGAGATTTCTGGGTTATTTTCAGATGGTGACCATTCCAACTATATCATCATCATTTATCTGTGTAGATTTTGAGATTTTAGAAGTTGCACCTGATATATTTAGATATTGCTATCAAGGACATCTTTTTCCTTTACTTTTTATCCTGCTGTCAAACGTCAAAGCCCTTCCCTGATCTAATTTTATGATTCTTGCCCATCACTATCTATTGAGCAAGTTGTTTTTGGAATCTTTTTTATTACTATCTGTCAGGAACTATATATAGTAAGTTTTTGTTCAATCTTTTTTTCATATTGACTATTTATCCTCCGGCTAAAAATATGGTTCACTGCCAGCTATATTGTGAAGTGAGTAAAGAAGAATTGTTTCCTCCGGGAGAAATGATGGACAAGAAGCAGAAGAAGTTTCTTACTGTGGCGCCTTTTGAGTGTGCCTGGCCTAATGATCTGAGATTTAGAGAAGCAGGAAGGGGTTGTGTAGCTTTTGATGCTTTTGCACATAACGATGTAACAATCGTTTTTCGCGAGCAGGTAGGGAGTCAGCATTATCACTACAAAAGGGATAATTGTCCACACTATACTGTAATCATTGGTAGTCATAGGAATAAGAGATTTAAGATTGAGGTTGATGGGAAAACGGTGGTTGACGCAGCTGGTGTTGGTCTTTGTTGTTCTTCAGCATTTCAAAGCTACTGGATTAGTATCTATGATGGATTGATTAGCATTGGCAAGGGAAGGTATCCTTTTCAGAATCTTTGCTTTCAGTGGCTTGATTCGAATCCCAATTGCAGCGTTCAGTATGTTGGTCTTAGCAGTTGGGATAAACATGTTGGATACAGGAATGTTAATGTACTGCCTGTCACACCGAATCATTTATCTTTGTGGAAGCATGTGGATTATGTTGAGCATGACTTAGGCGAGGATGATTTAGAACAAGAGTTAGAAGATCAAATTGCTAATTATGAAAGTTGGGGTCTTGGAAAGTTTCTTGAGAATTGGGAGTTATCTGATATGTTCTTTGTTGTTGGAAAGGAAGAAAGGGTTGTTCCAGCTCATAAGCTCATTTTAGCTGCATGTGGAGATTTTGGTCTTAGTTCATCAGTTGAAGAAGTTGTTCACTTGCCAGACATTAGTTATTCCGTCCTTCATGCACTTCTTCAGTATGTCTACACCGGACATGCTCAGGTGAATCCTAACTTTCGGGCAAGTTCAAGTTATTATCCTTCCATTTTGTTATCTGTATACTTGATAGGCTATCAACTGGGACATTGTCTGCTCAACTTTGGATACATACTTATTGCTTATTACTTCGTTGAGGAAGGAATGTTTTTTTCTATCCGAACAAGGAATTAATTCAAATGTTTCAGAAGAAACAAAACTTATTATTCAGACTTAACTATGTACTCAAATGAATTTGCTCGATTTAACTTTTGTGTATAGACTAATTCTCTTTTGCTTTTTACCTCTTTCTATTGTCTAAATTTCTTTTAAGTATGTTGAATCTGCCATATCTTAAATCACCCTACCAAGCGTGTATCAACACTATGCACTCTGAAATAGGTATAGATGTGTGTGTGTGAGAGAGAGAGAGAGAGAGTATAAATATGTAGTTCCAAAGCGTTGTTCTATGAAACTATTAGTGTAAATATTTATCTTAAAGTTGCTGACCCACTGCAATATTTGAGCATTGTAGATTTTGGAATCTGATCTCCGCTCGTTGAAGTCTTTGAGTTTACAATACAAAGTGATGCCATTGGTGAAGCAATGTGAAGAGATCCTTGAGCAACTTACGTCTCATGAGCAACTTGTTGAATCACCTAAGCCTGTAGACATATCTTATCCGAGCTGGCTCCAATGTAGCAAAACTTTTCCATATGGGTTGCCCATTAATAGAGAAAGGCTTGAACAGTTCCTCTCGACCGGAGAATACAGTGATCTAGACATTTATGTTGGAGTTCATGACCTTGTTTTGCAGTCACATAAAGTAATCCTTGGGTCATGGAGTGTTCCTTTCGCAAAGGTATTTAACATTGTTATAACTTCTCTTTCACAAATTTTCCCTACTTATTGCCTTTAGTTAGAAGTCATTGTGAGGAAGTAGCACGTCAAAAACCATTGGCGAAAAATCATTTTTCTGTCTTAAATCCTGTGACGATGTTCTGTTAGTTTCCCAGAATTGATTGCTGCCTTGTTTCTTAAATTCTTGGACTAGACTAGGATACATTACAAGGTTCATCTTTTCTGATGTTCAAACTCAAAATCAGCAATTTTGAAGTGTTAGAATTTTTAATGAGCATTTTTGCTGTATAAATGCATTTGAGGTGCTTAGAGAAACTTTCCCTTAGGAAACGAAGTTTATTTTGAGATCAACATGTTAATATGGATTGCTTCAATATCTTAAATTGTAGTTAGCCCCTGAAAATAACATTGAAATCCAGAATCTATCATGTATCAACAGTCATACACTATGTCTGTTTTAAGCAAAATTTTGAATTGGCAGATGTTTACCAATGGAATGAGGGAGAGTGCTTCTTCAATGGTCTGCTTAAAAGATGTCCCTCTTGAAGCATTTAAGATTATGCTAGAATTCATGTACACTGGAGAACTTAATAAAGAAGCCACCGGCGGAATTAATACCTTGTTACTCCAGCTTCTTTTACTGGCGGATGAGTTTGGGGTTACTCTTCTTCATCAGGAGTGCTGCAAAATACTTTTGGAGTGCCTCTCAGAGGTAATCTTACGACTCTTCCCTCTTTCAATGCATACTTCCTCTTTTGTTGCTAAACCTGTATGGTCGTATGCATCATCATGTTGAAAGTGCTAATGTCAGACTACAATTAAAAGAATGGAGAAGTGATGCAGTTCGGACTTGTGAGCATGAGCGGAGCCGTTTTATGACAATGAGATATAAATTTATTAATACCTTTCGTCTATACATTATATGCAGGGATGGAGTTCTCCTATTGGAAGAAGGTTCAAGAACTTTTTCTATTATGCCAAGTTTATTGGACGAGGAAGAAGACACTTTGGTAAAGTCTTTGGGTCGTGATCTGTGACACTAATTGTTGGTCTTTGTTGCAGGACTCAGTATGCCCAATTCTTCAAGTGATATCATCTGTTCCCTCATGTAAACTCATTGAAGAAACCTGTGAGAGGATATTCTCGATGCACTTTGATTATTGTACAACTGCAAGCATCGACTTTGTCATGTTAGATGAAGCAAGCTTTAGCAATATCCTTCAGGTGATCATCATTCCCTCCTTATTTTTTAACTTGAATAATATGAACAATGTTGCGATTTTGGATACTTGAACAAGAAACCATCACTTGGATAAAGAAAGTCTAGATTATCTAGTTCGAGTCAATGTCTGCAAGGAGGAAATATTCTTTTTCTAACTTCACGAAGGTGCAGTGTGATTATGGGTCTTATTGAATGTTTCATCCCTTGTACAGAAGAGTTCAGATGATTTAATCTTTGGGAATATTCTTGATAACGAAGTACAGGCATATGCAGCCAACATATTTCTGCTTTCTGAAACAAATATGAGTAAAAGTTTAGGGGAAATCATATGCCTTTATCTGTCTTATAGTTGTGACCTGGTTTCTTTACTTTACATAGTAGTTTTATTCCTTTAATTGGGTAAGATTTCAAAGACCTGAGCCTGAAAGAATATATTAAAGTCACTTGATGTGCAGATGCATTAATAAAGCTTATGTGCTATTGAATTGGCAGTATACATCTCTAACGACAGATGATGTGTTCTGCAGCATACAGATTTGACAGTGACATCCGAAGAGAGAGTTCTCAATGCCATCTTACTTTGGTGCTTACAAGCAAGAGAATTGTATGGATGGGAAACAGTAAACGAATTGATTGTAAATTCAACACCAGAGATGCTTTTTGGGGAGAGGCTTAAGTCTCTAAATGGATTTCTGAATCTTGTGCGGTTCCCCTTACTGCCACTTGAATTGCTGAAGAAGGTATATACCTTGATATTGAGGAGCACCTCGCTTCGCCATCATTAAAGTTGAATATATGCTAATGTTGGCTTTGTTGGGAATCCTGCAGTTTGAAGGAAGTAACCTTTGCCAGCAGATTCCCACTTTTGACCATCTGGTATGTTACAACTATTTAGAGAAAGATTCCATGGGATGTTTATCATTTTGATACCTCTGGAGAATAACTCGTATGCTATGTAACAGGTTAAAGAGGCTATAAGATTTCTGGAATTTGGGGTCACCGGTTCTAAACGAAGCCAAAAGTAAGTAGTAATACTAGTATATTAATCATGTAATAATTGAAGGAAACTTGTGTATTTTAATCGGAGAATGATTATCAAAAACATCTAAAACTGACACTGATGAAGTGCTGTAACATATGATAATAGGTTTCAGCATAGGAAATCAAGTTTCAAGGAGCTGCTTTACATATGTGATGGAGACAGCAATGGGGTCCTCTATTTTGCTGGCACATCATATGGGAAACACCAGTGGGTAAATCCTGTCTTGTCTAAGGTAAATCATGAAATGCAATACGCAATTTACCTTCCTTGCTTTTGCCGCCTCATCTTGTAATCTACTTAACATGTATAATTCATGATTCAGAGAGTAACTATCACTGCTAGTAGCCCCATTTCAAGATGCACTGATCCTAAGGTCTTGGTGTCAAGAAATTTCCAGGTATGAATTGGAGGAGTTATTGTAAAGGATTTTCTCCTTTTAAATTAGTTGAAAAGAAAAGGCAAAAATGATCATTTCCTTTTTCAGGGTACATCTCTTGCTGGACCTCAGATGGAGGACGGAAGAAACGCTTCATGGTGGATGGTCGATGTTGGTCAAGATCACCAGGTTAGATTTATTGGTTTGTGTATACGGTGGGTGTATAAAGAATGAATAGGAAAGAAGTTATTTTGTTGCTGTAACCTGGTCCATGAATTATGAAAATAATGAATTTAATCAGTTGTAGGATTATGCCTTGAAACAATGTGAACTGCATATTTTGTTCATCGCCTTCCTTGCATGGTTTACAATGTTACATACTGATACATTCTAAAATCTCTTGTGAATGAGAAAATCTTACATGACTTGTGCATATAACTCTGCTCATTTAGTTGTCAATGTAGTTATAAATTTGGCTTATAAAGTAGAGTCTAACATATCTAAGAGTAACAAGTTATAAGAGAACTCTTCTTGAACGACCAGGTTCACACATTATAATACCTACCTAAGACCTACCCTTACGAAAAGGAAATGAACTTGTATGTGCAGCTTGCACTTTGTTCGTGCTGATTCTCAAAATTCTGCTGTATGTGATCAAGTTCGATATTTGGTCATATTTTGTCTTTGACTGCACCTAGTGATGGGAAATGATCCTAGCTGTAGAAACTATGCATGTCCAGAGAAAGCTTTTAGTATTCTTCGGCCAAGGACATCTAATTAAACATGCCTTGTAATTGACTTGCGGCAAAACAATTGAAGATTCAACATTATAGTTTACAGTTCTCATTGTGAGGGCGTTGCATTGAGTCATGGTTGTCTAGAGTGGTGTTTGTTAGTATACCTCTGTCTGAACGGAATACCGAAAGTGAACACTTGTCTACTTTCTTTTTCTTTTATGTTTTTTGTTGGATCTGGGGTTTGCATTTTGGTTTCTTTGAAGGGTTATCTCTCAGTTTAATCATTTCCAAGTTTTGTCACAATATCCGTGATCAATTATCCCATTTGGTATTCAACAAGAAATCAGAACTTCTGATCCATATAATATTTTTTCATGAACAGCTCATGTGTAACTACTACACATTAAGACAGGACGGATCAAGAGCATTTATGAGACGTTGGAACTTTCAGGTAAGCCATGCAACCAGTACTCACAAAAGCAGTATATATTTCATCTCGCGTGCAAATGCAACACATTAGTGATGTACTCGTCTGGATTTTACATTTATACGTTCCAATAACAACAACAGCCCAGTATAATCCCACATACATTTATACGTTCCGTTATACTTAATTTACTAGGTTCCTCAATTCTATGCATTTCAGGGGTCTTTGGATGGGAAAAGTTGGACAAACCTGAGAATACATGAGAATGATCAAACTATTTGCAAGCCAGGTCAATTTGCGTCGTGGCCTATTACCGGTCCAAATGCTCTACTTCCTTTCAGATTCTTTCGACTTCTCATGACCGCTCCTACTACAGATGATACTAACCCATGGAACTGTTGCATCTGCTTCTTAGAACTATATGGTTATTTTCGTTAGCGTGGTTTTTGGTTTAAACATGTAATGAATAGCTTAGTTTTTTCCACAAACTCTTCATTTACAGTTGAAAATGTTGCATGCAGAAAATAAATTGCATGGTCTTGATATTCTCCAAAGATGTCTAAAGTGCTGTGATATCATGTATTCTCCGCTTACTGGTTTTGATTGGCTGGTTTCTTGTAGAATGCTGTTGCATTTATTCTCTCTCTATATATATATTTTATAAAAGCATGAATATAACTTTGGTTTACCAAAGTAACCTTAATATATTAGGTTAACTTACCATAAATCAATTGGTTATATTGGTAAAAAAAGGCTTAATACATAGTTTACCACCCAACCTTTGGCCCAAATCCTCCTTACACACTTTCTGTGGACGATAATAACCTTACACAAGAAATTTTTCTAAAGTGTATCTAGTACCCACCTCCTTTGACCAGATCCTGTTAATAAGACATCCGTGTATGTCACGCGTTTGACTTTACATAATTTTAACCCATTACCTTATAATAACTAACCCGACCCTAACTGAACCTACCCGACCCACAAGGTAAAAGCGTTAAAACCAAACTTACCCAAGTCAGTACTCAAAATCCGATGCATATAGAAGGAGCTACTGTAAAGGCGATTTCGGCGACCATCTCAAGCTACGCTTTCATCGTGGATTTCCGGTGGATTTATGGGGTTAATAGGTTAGTAATTTTCTTCTCCTTGCATTACCCGTTTATTTTAGTAGTGGGTGGGTTGAATCTAGGGTTTTTTTGAAATTTCTTCTATTTTGCTTAGGGTTATCGGATTTTCAAGTGCTCTGGAGTTGGGGGGTCAAACCACATAAAGAAATTACATGCCGATCGTTTGTCCCTCTGAAAAATTGAAGAGACAAAATTATTACGGAATATAAAATCGATTAAAAAGTACAATTGATATTTACCTCATAAAATGGACATCCGTAAAATCGACGACCCGGATTATCAACACTCCATGACTGTATCACCACAGCTTCTTCACCACAATAGCAAATTTTTCTCATATTATGCATTTTCCCAAATCTTAAAATTGAGCCTTAGAAATTTAACTCTTATGTCAAAAAAGAGAAGGAAGAAATAGAAGAAGACTGTAATATTGGCTTCGAACTTCAAGAAGAGGAATAAATTTTGGCTTCAAGAAGATAAAATTTTCTTCAATTTAAAGCTTTCAAGGAGGAAGAAGAAGATGAAAATCGGGTTAGTATATAGATAGAAATGGGTTAAGGCCCTTTTAATCTTTTAAGGGTCATTGGAATGTGTTTTTGACCGTTTATTAAAACAGAAATTGTCTTGAAATAGTGTCCACGCGCTTGGTCCAGTTTGTATTACACACGCTTAGACCTGGTCAAAAAAGGTGTGTACTAGGCACACTTTAGAAAGGTTGCGCATGTAAAGTTATTATGGTCCACAGAAAGTGTGTAAGCGAGATTTGGGCCATAGTTCGAGCCATTATGGTCCACACTTAAATAAAGGTAAAGTTTTAAATAAATGCATACTCTAAAATTCCATAAGTAACAAGTAAATCACTGTTAAGTCAAAACACTATTTCAAAGAGGTTTCAGTGTGAAATATTTTGAATTTGAAAAACGAAAAAAAAAACTGAATGGAGTATAATTTGATGATTGGACTTTGAAGCCTTCATCCCTCTCAAAAACATCTACTTTCTCTCAGATTCTAATTTTTATATTAATTAATTTTCTTTTTTCACTATTTTCTAAAGGAGGTGTGTTGAAAAAAGTATTTTTACCCTTTGGAAGCTATTTTATTTCTTTCAAAAAGTAATTTCATACCGGATATGATAAATATTTGAGATTTTTCCTAATACCTAGGAATTTATATTCAAATAAAATTAAATTAGAATCCTAAAACTAAACCTACATGGTTGATCTTTTCATATTTAAGTTACATACTACTTAAATTGTAAAAGTTAAGTTATGATAAATTTTAAAATGTCATAAAGTTCATCACCAAAAGCCCATGATGTGAGCAATTAGCAGTGTTACACCAGAAAACCTATTATGTCATTATATATAGCTATAGTTTTTAATTTATTGTGCAGCAAGTCCGTATATAATTATGTAAACCATATCCTAGAATGTGTGTATTAGGGGTGGACATCGGTCGGTTCGGTTCGGTTTTGAACATTATCGGTTTGCCTATCGGTTATCGGTTTACAAATATCATAACCCGATAACCAAACCGATAAGATATTGATTATCGATTATCGGTTATCGGTTATCGGTTAATCGGTTATATATCGTTATCGGTTCGATTATCGGTTTACCCGATAACATAAAACAACTAAAAAAAATTGCAATATATAAAACAAAGAAATCAAACTGCCAGAACGTGTAAACTGCCAACTTTTGTTGTTTCTTAACAAAAGCACGCTCCCGCTTCTGTGCAGTATCTACTGATGTCTGGCGGAGAACTGGTGGTGAGTCTTGCGTCTTGACTCTTGGGGGTTGCGACAGAAATAAGAATGAGAACTGAGAGACAAACAACTGAAGAGTGAAGAGGGAATTAGAAAAATAAATAACTCTAGTATATACTTAAGGGTAAATTAGTAAATTATATCATTTTTATTGGGTTATCGGTTTTTACCCAATAACAAAAATGCAAACCGAGCCCGAACCGATAACCCAATAAAAAAAATGTAACCCGTTACCGAACCGTTAACCTAATAACCCAATACCGATAACCCAATAAAAAATTAACGGTTCGAGTTATCGATTTTACCCGATATATGCCCACCCCTAGTGTGTATTAGATTTATGGACTGTTTATATGAAGGGATGCCGCTAAAGCTATTGTATAAATACCAATAATATAAAACAAATAGCAACGAGTAAAATCTTCTCTCAAAACCTCTTTGTTTTATTCTTCTTTAAATTTTGTAATGTTAATTAATTTGCAAATGATTATAGAAGGCTTCCAAATTCACTAACTTTCAAAAAGAATGTTAAACCATCATTCTTAAATCCAAAACCCTAAAATAATATTATGATGAATACTTTTAAGAGTTTAACTGCACTTGAATTCTAATGAATTTTTCGTAAACTAGATTACATTGACATTTAGTACTTCAAAACTAACTCGATTTTTGTGACCAAATTTATCACTTAATTAATTTGAATATTTATACAAGGATTGATATCATATGATTAAAGGTGCAGTTATTCAGGTATAATATTTGTAGATTCAACTAAATTAATGAGTGGAACACAAATTTGGATAACAATAGAAGATCTAAAGGTATGTACCTACTTGTTTAAAAGGATTTAAACTCTAATCCAAAATAAACACATAGAAAGTTCATACATAAAAACCTAAACGGAGTACTACAAATTAATCTACACCTCTCTGTAAGCACGTGATTTTTTCCCTATATGAGAATTACTCCCAAAAAATTCAAAAATAAAGTAATTTTTCTTGGTGTGTAATTTGGTGATATTTTGTGATATTTTGAATAATTATTTGTATTTGTCTGTGCATGTTTATTTGTTAAATTAATAAAAATACAAAAATATGTCGCATGTTGTATGTAGGATTTAATTCTACAATTGTTAGTAATTAAATTTGTTTTACAAAAAATAAGAATTACAAAAATAGGCATCGTTTGCATTTTTAGCATTTAATGTCCAAATATACAATTTTA